TTAACAGTCCTACCAAGTGCTCAAGGTGCCACCGGCCCGAAAGGGAAGACAAACTGGCTGGGCCGCCCCCACCAAGCTCAGAAGTCAGCACCCCGCCTCGAGCTGTGGCCGCTTCACACCAACCAAGCCTGATGCCAGCCTCTTCCACCCAAGGTTAGGGCACCATCTGGCCAACCTTTGCCCAACCCCCGTCCCCGTAACATTCTCTGGGCCCACGGACCTCCCCTCGGTGCCTCTCTCCCCCAAAGCCTTCTGCAGCCTGGCAAGGGTGGAGTATCATAAAAGATGAAAAAAAATAAATAAATAAAAAGGTGCACACAAGCCTGAAAATGCTTTTTTATTTTTTTCAAGTTTAATACACACTAGAACAAGCCACAAAAGAGTGTTGCTAGCTCAGAACGACACTCACCTCAAGCCCACCCCAGGAACCCCAAAACACAGAGACCAGGAATTGGATCCATGGCTCCTGGGGAGACCAAACACTCCTGGGGAGGCCCGGGTACCCTGAACCCTTCTGTGACCTGACCTCCCATTACCCACAGCCTAGACTCAGTCGGCCCCTCCCCTTCCTGACTCCCAGGACTTCCTCCCTCCTCAGGGGACAGAGGGACAGCAGGGGCACTGGTTCAGGGCCCTCGGGTCCGGCTGTCCAGAAGCTGGGCTCTGGCTCAGGGTGGAGAAACATTGCAGAAGGGCTGCCAGGGCTGTCAGGCCCCCACACACTCCACGTAATTGGCAGGGTACAGGCCAATGCGGCCGCTCTGCAGCTGGCCCTGGCACCAGCCCTGCTCGTCCTCCTCGCTCATCTTCAGCAGCTCCTCCCCTGGGGGAAGGGGGGTTGGTCATTGCCAATTGCCCTGGCCCAGCCCGGTTCCTGCAGTTGGGTCAAGGACTGAGGGCGGCAGGCAGTAACCCAGAGAACCCAGCTAGGGGAAAAGACCTGGCTCAGGCAGAGGGCAGTCCCAGTCAGCAAGCCACCCCACCCCAGGCCCTGGATGCAGCAGTCGGACCCCAGCTGGAGGTTTCGAGAGGCAGACTGGACCCAGAGCAACCTTAAGAGTCAGAGAACTGACCCTTAAGAAGTAGGTGTCTGGCTTCCCTTTGCCACCCGCCCTCTTCAAGACAATGAATGGAGAGGGAAGGTTGAAGCCTGGAAAGGAGCAGGAAAGGGGTCCCAGGGTACCTGCTCGGAAGCTCAGCTCATCAGCTTCCTGGCCAGCGTAGTCATAGAGCGCCCGCACCCGCACCCCAGTGGCAGCCTTCCGGGGAGTGTCCTCGTCTGACCACTCCTCATCCTGCCCACTGCGGGAGAGGGGAGGCAGAAGGGGCAGGCTCAGGGCATGAGGAACACCTTGACCAAGAGAGCCTGGGACCCACAGTCAAGGGCCCACCCCCGGGAGGGACCCTGGGAGAGGCAGGTGGGGAAGAACTGGAAGAGTCTGGCCTGATCTCTGCCACACCTGCCTGCGAGCTCAGGGCTTCCTGCCACATGGTGCTGACATGAGCAGTACATGAGAGGGAACGGGGGAACACCTGGCAAACCTAAACCACCGTGAACACTGGCATTACAGCCACTCGGGAGGTCCAAGGTCCCTGACACTCATTTTCTTTCTTTGTTTTTTAAATCCTCGCCTGAGGATATTTTTCCATTGATTTTTAGAGAGAGTGGAAGAGAGAGAGAAACACTGATGTGGGAGAAACATTGATTGGTTGTCTCCTGCATGAGCTCTGAGGAGCCTACAACCAAGGTGCGTGCCCTTGTCCGGAATCGAACCCAGGACCCTTTGGTCCATAGGCCGACACTCTATCCACTGGGCCAAACCGGCTATGGCTCTGACACCCATTTTCAACCCACTTCAGGTGCGAAGGGAATGAAGGAAAGGCGGGCAGGGCAGGGGCCAGAGCTGAACAACCAAGTTTCTGGCTCTCACCCTGGGGACACGGGGGACTGAGGTGGGGGCACAGCACCATCTCTTGTGGGCCCGATGCTGGTCAGAGTAACCTCATCAGGGCTCCGGCCACCCTTCTCCTTCCGGTTTATTGTCCTCTGTGTGTCCAAGGACCACTCCTGTGGGGACAGTGCTTAGGGTCAGGCTGGCCTGCAGGCTGATGATCCAGGGCCATCTAAATCACCTTCACCTCTTCATCCCAAGTCCTGGCCTCCCTCCTGAGGTCCAGGCTGAGCCCCATGGGAGTCCATCCCATCTCCCAGCCCCACCTGGAACACGTACCTCAAACTGTGGCCAGTGCGTGGCCATGCCCGGCCCGTGGGTGCTGCGCCACCAGCGCAGATCCTGCTCGTCACTGGCTGCCTCGATACCCTGATGCAGGTCTCTGTGGAGCTCATGGAACCTGTGGCCCGAGGCACAACCCTCAAACTAGGAAGCCTAGAGCCCTTGCACCTCCTTAAATCTCTTTCAGCCCAGGCAGAGCCCAAGGGAGTGGAAGAGACCCAGCAGTTCCCCAGATCTCCGCGCCCACGCAGGCCATACCGCTCACTGCTGGAGAGGTCGAGGTGCTGGTGTAAGGTGAGCAGCATGTCCTTGAAGAAGAGAAGCCGCTGGCGCTCAGCAGCCTGGCAGGTCTCGAAGGCCTGCTCCATGTCTTCCATGTAGCGCGGGGTGTAGCGATGCAGCTCTGCCAGCGTCTGCTCATACTGGGCTTTTGTCTGGGTGGGGAGGAGGGGGCCTGTTCAGCACGAGACCTCCTTCCACTCATGATTCCGCTAGTATTTACTGAGTACCTGCCATTGGCTAGACCTAGACCAGGGGTGGGCAAACTTTGTGACTCGAGGGCCACGACGGGTTCTTAAACTGGACTGGAGGGCCCGAAGGCCGTAGTTTGCCCAAGGCTGGGCTAGACCCTGGACTAGGCACCAGAGGCAACCAGTCACACGGTCTGGCTCCTGCCCCTAACAGCCTAATAAGAGAGGTGACATTTGGGCACAGCAGCTTTTAGAGTCTGGTGAGTGAAGACGAAACGTGAGAGTAAGAAGAGATGGAGAGTGAAGAGTGAGATGAGGTCCACCCAGGAGGGGGTGGAAGAAATCAGGGAAGGCTTCATGGCGGAGGAGGAAACTGACCGGCACCTCAGGGGATGGGAAGATTTGGATATGCAGAGCTAGAGGGAAAGGCACTCTGTCAAAGCAACCAACATGAAAGGTGGTCCCAGGTGGAACACTGGGAAAGGAAGGGAGCTGGGAAGGTCTCAGCTGCTAAAATTATCCCAATGCCCGAACTTGCACTGTTCCTTTCCCTGGGTAAAGCATCGTCTTTTCTCAGGTTCCTCCTTTAAATGGTAATCTGGAGAGAGGGTGGCAGGTGAGCACGAGAGCAGGAAGCGTACTGGGGACCGGGAAAGGCATTCAGGAAGCCCTGAGCTGGGCTAGCCCATCCATGGCGGTACCTTCTCGGCCTCCTTGGTGCAGCGGTCCACCCGCACCTGCAGCTTGCGCAGCTGGTCCTGGGAGACCGTGCTGTCTGCCTTGGCGTGGCTCTCCCGAGTCTGCGCCGTCTTCTCCTCCTTCCGGGCTCCGTGGTAACTCTTCTTGGAGGCCTCAACCTGGCACACACAGGGACAATTCTGGACCCCGCACACCACACCCCGGGCCCGTGGACTTAGTAAGGAGCAGGCCACCACTGCACATCCCTCCCAGGCTCACCTCCTTCAGCCTCTTCAGCCAGGGCTTCTGGGCCTTGCGGAAGCTGTCCTCGGCCGCCCGGCTCTCTCGGAAGCCACCCAGCACTGGCCGGTGGAAGGCCCCCCGCTGCCAGGCACGCACCCGCTCGCTGTCCTGCCCGTGAAGCTTCTCCCGAACCTCCAGGTGCAGCGCGCTCAGCCGCTCGGCCGCCGTGAAGAAGGCGTGCCAGGCCTTCTCCAGCGTGCCATACTGGGGGCCTGCGGGGAGGCATGGGACTTAGGCCAGGCCAGGAAAGCCACCGGAAACGAGCTACCCCCCGCCCCTGGTGCTATTCCAGGTGCCAGGCACGCCGTGGGGATGCAAAGAAGAGCAACGATGTCAGCTGCTGCTTACTGCATACCCGCTCTGTGCCTTGACATACCAGATCTCACTAAACCCTTGCCTCATCCACCACCATGAAGACAGTGTCATGATCAACTGTTAACAAGTGAAAAAAAACGGCGGCCGGCCCACACTAGTGAAGTTTACTGCCCAGAGCATGACAGCTGCAAGTGGGACTGAGATTCAGATCTAGCCTGTGGCATAAACCTCTATACTCTGTTGCCTCAAAAGGAGGAACCAGTGTCTGTTCCCAGGGAAGGCCGATAGTTAGGGTGGAAAGATCCCATATCAGAAGGCCTGGTCCGGTTTGTTATTCCTAGCTGTGTGGCTTCAGGCAAGTCTTAGCTTCTCTGAACTTCCGAATGTCCTCTAGAAAATGTGTACATCAGGCCTGTCTCCATCACAGGGTTGTTAGAAATACCAAATGACTCGTGACTGTACTTAGCAAACGCTAACAGCACTGCCATGAGAATTACCAGGAGGATCTTCCCTTTAACAGGAAAGCAGACACGAGAGCCTCAACCTTCCACCACAGGTGCAAAAAGAAGCTGCCCAAGCCCTAGCTGGTTGCTCAATGGTTAGAGCACCTGCCTTGGCACCGGAGAGGCTTGGGTTCGATTCCCCGTCAAAGGCACATACCTGGGTTGCAGGTCTGGTCCGCACCCCCTCCGCACCCCATTGAGGCGTATGGAAGGTAACCATTTGATGTTTCTCCCCCCACCACCACCACCACTCTCTTTCTTCCCCTCTCCCATACATTCTCTCTAAAAATCAATGGAAAAATATCCTCATTTCTTGGCTGAGGATTAAAAAGAAGAAGCTGCCTGCCTGATCTCCCCACATTGGTAGCTCTCTGCGCCCTGCTAGGCTCATATGCCGGCTCACCCTTCTCCACGGTACCCCTCCACTTTCGGGCCCAGTCAGCCAACTGCTGGGCGTAGGCCTTCTCAATGCGGGCACGCTCCTGGAAGCAGCTGACCAGGTCCCCGCACAGCCGATGCCCGTCTTCCACCCGCTGCACTGTCCGCCTGTAGTTGCCAGCCTGGGGTGTACATGGAAAGGGCGGAGTGGCCAGGGAGAAGCCCCCTGCAGGGCTGGTGCTGCCAGCTAGACAACCCCAGATAGGTGGCTGAGCCCAGAGGGGTGGGCATGACAGTGCCACCCCCAAACCCATCTGCTCACCTCCCAGAAACTGCCTTCTAGGGCCTCCCCTCCAGTGTCCTCCTCTGGAGCCATGGTGTCCCTGCAGCACGGAATGGTGGCGGGCGGGGGCTGTGGAGTACAGAGGTAAGCAGAGGAGCTGGGCACGTGCTTTCTGGGAGAGCAAGAGGCCCTCTCCTGTCCCTGGGCTTCACCCCACTGCCATCCCACCACCCACGGGGCTGTTGTAACTAGGACTTAGCAGGCAGGGGTCTGGGAGTCCCCAAGAGGGGCCAGGATAGGGGCAAAGATGGCGGTTTCAAAGCTCCTTCTCTTACCCTGGGTCTGCCCTCCCCCCATCTCACCCCATGTACCTGGAGCCCAGAGATCACTTCAGGGACCTGGCTGTCCAACTCTCAACGCTTCCACTGACTCTGCCTGGAAGCTAATGAGAGCAAAGCAGGGGGTGAGGGCGGGACCTAGACCGTCCAGGGCGGTGCCCAGCTCCCCCAATATAGCAACTGCTGTCAGAAGCGCCAGATTCCAGCCAGGAGAATCCAGGCAGGTCATCCGATCCAGCCGGGGATTAGCTGGCAGGCGGGGGTGGGTGGTGGGCAGAGGGCCCCACCTCTCTGACTGCAGATGAGACAGAGGACGCCTGCCCCAGCTGGGGTCCTGCCGCCTTTCCCTGAACAACAAGGAGGTCCTTTTCCAGACCAGGCCAAGCCAGAGGGTGCCAGCCACTCTTCCCTGTGCTGGGAAGGACTGAGAGCCCAGAGGCCCGAGTCCCATCTCGGCCTCGTAAGGGAGCCTCAGCTCCCTCCTCAGATGGAAATTCTGCCCCCCGGTCTGTTTCTGTGCCAGGGCTGGTATAACACTCAAACCAAGCAATGAACAGCAGTATGAGGGGCCTGACGGTCACAAGGAGACTCATCCTGGCCCCAGCATCTGAGGTCCCACAGGGCTCTGTGGGTAATGAGCAACTCAGCCCCACCCTCAAAATGCTCAGAGTCTGCGACACCATGAGGGAGTCAGACAGGTGACGGGCCGGTTATGGGTATTCTCCAGAATCACAGAGCAGGGCAAGGCGGATTCCTACCCACGCCACCACCCCAGGGGCGAGAGGACACGGTGGCACATGGCCACTCCCTTCCTGCCTCTGCACAGGGTCTCAGCTGTCCGAGGCAGCCACTCGGGCTCCTAGAAGGAAATCGCATCCTCCTCTGAGCAAGCCCAGGGGACTCCGCCAGGCCCATTGAGGACGGAGGACGGAGGACGGAGGACGGAATGTGCCTGTTGCCCCCAAGCAAGGCTTCATCGCAGTGCCCCCTCCATACTGACGAACCTCTACCAGTTCTTCCTATTCAAATCGAGGCATCTCGTCCACAGCCCCACCCACCATCCCCATTCCCACAGCCCCTCTGACCCCTCAGTCAGGGTATAAATCCCACAGGATCTGTCCGCAGCCGTTGACAGACTTCCTGAGGGTCCAATTTGGGTTCCTCCAGGCACTGGTGTTAGTAGTTGAATGAAAACACAAATGTCATTCCCCTGAAGACCAGGAAACCCACAGCTACAGCCGCTGTGTGAAAGGTTGGCCTGTGCGGGCTTCCCCCACCCGCCTCAGCTAACAGGAGAGCCCAGGCCTGCTATGGAGGTGTCTGGGCACAGAGCACAGCAGCTAACCCCACCAGGGTCCTCAGCACTTCCTTCACCTTGCTTCCTCTGAGTCTGTCCCACTGGCCAACCAGATGGAGAGAACCGGAGCTGCGGCTGTCAATTACCGGCCTTTGGTGCCGTCCCAGCCAGGCATCCTGGGGCCCCAGCCCCCTGCCCGCCCCAGCTCCATGCTCCCAGCTCCCTGGAGAGCTGCCCCCGACCCATTCCCTCTCTCTGGCCCCAGAACAGAGCAAGCTGTGTGCAGGGCTGGCACTGCTCCCTCCGGCCTCCCAGAGCAAACACAAGACCCAGCCCCAGGCACAGCCAGGCCCCACAGCCCCGGCTGGATCTAGCTGTAGGGGTGGGCCTTGCACCCTGGACCTCCCGGTCTCAGCAGAGACCCAGAACGGTCCCCAGAACACGCTGCCACAGACAAGAGCTCAGAAAGCAGATAATGAAAGCTTCCCGGCCCAGGGAGTCAGCACCTACTGGACCCCTAGAAGTCGGCTAGGACTTGGCAGGGTCTCCTCATAGCTGCCTGGGCCAAGGTAAGGAATCCTGGGGTTCAGGAAAGAACCCACTCTCCCTACCTGAGGCAGGTAGGTAACCCCGGCCCAGACCTGCCCTCCCTCTTCCCAGAAGCTGGGGGCAAGTCCCTGGGAGGGAGTGCTGCCTTCCTGCCCTGCCCAACCATCCTGTCCTGAGTCACAGGCTGCACCCAAGGCCTCTTCTTCCAGCTGCCCCTCCCGGAGGGCCGGCAGCCCTGCGTTGAAGGCACGGAGGGGGCGGCAGACATAGGGACACCTAGGCGACAGCGGCTGGAATCAGTGGCCGGGGCGGCTGGGGGAGGGGGTGGCGCGGGGAAAGGGGAGGAGGCAGGGCCTGGGAGGGGCATAACAAAGGGGCACTTTTGGAAACCCGACCTGCCTGCCGAGGTGCCTGCTCCCCGATGACGCACTCCAAACCCGGACCTTCCACACCAAACCTCGGAGCCCAGGGGCTGGCGGGCTCTGCTCTCAACCCTGTGGACGTCGCCTTTGGACCGGCCCCTCTGGCCAGCCGGGTGCTGCACAGCTCAGAGCCATGAAGCCCAAGCGGAGCTGCCAGGCCAGGCCCAGCCATGGAGGTTCCAGGACTTGTTGGCCAAACTTGTCGAACTCGGTCTCGGCGGGGGTGGGGCCGGCCGCTCACTGCTGAGGGCAGGGGGACTCGAGATGGTGGCCCGGTCAGCGGCCCCGGGAACTGGAGCTCTTTGCAGAGGGCAAAAGGGTCGCCGGGGAGCCAAGGCCCTTTCCGGGGGCCCAGGTCGAGCTGGAGCCCTGAAGAGGCCCCAGGAGATGGTGTGCCCTCCGGTCCCG